CCGCCACGTGGGTGCGGTCGGCGGTGGAGTGTTTGGAGTGGTGGTGGGCCGAGCATGAGGGCTCGGGCGGCGGGACCGCGCAGTACGCCCAGCGGGTGTCTGGGTCGGTGGTGTAGCACCACGGCCGCGCCTCGCCGTCCGGGTTGCGGCACGAGTTGTGCCCACCGAGCCCCCCGTGCGGGTAGTTGAGGTGGATCCTGTCGTGCCTCTGCGGCATCTGGTCGGACCACGCCTGGCAAGCGAGGCCGTCCTCGGTCTGGTTGATGGCGCCGCGGTAGTCGGAGCCGTCCGCCTGGGTGTAGCAGTCGCCGTACCCGTGGAAGCAGTCCGATTTGTCCCACTCGCACGCGGGGTTGTTGCAGTCCGCGTCGCACTCACCGTCACCAAGGTACGAGGTTGGGCAGTGGAAGGCGCAGGTGTCCTCAGCGTAGTCGTAGTAGGCGTAGGAATACGTGTCCCAGTCGTTGGTGACGTCGCCGCTGGCCGCCTCCTCGCTGCCGCGCGCGGCGGAGATCGCGCAGAGGAGCAGCGCGCGGATAAGCATATACGCGACGCGTGTGGTGTATGCGTGTCCTCGTCTCTTTGCCGCCACGTTCTGACCGTTGTCTTCCTTGCGCGTCGCCGCACGCCGCTTTTAGTTTTTACTGCTTTTCGTTTCAAGGGGATGAATGAAGAATACGGAATACGCTGCCTCTCTTATACGCGGTTGTCGTCTGATCGCATGGTACTAACCGTACCAGTATGTATGCAGTAAAGTACTGGAGAGAGGCTAGCCAAAACTGTAGACACACCTACGTACGGGGTGTGGAGGGTGAGTTGACCAGGGGTTGTGCGCCGGGCCCTCCTGCTCGGCTCCAGGGAGTAGGCAAGTGCTGTCATCAACAGAGTAGATGGATCTGACCTCGGGGCTGATGTGACCAAGCGCTGGTAGCGTGGTTTTACCTCACACCCATGGTCTCACAGTGTGCCGGCAGTCGCCGAGCAGTGTCGCTCACACAAGCCGCAGCACAAGTGACTGAGGGCCAGTGAGGGCGAGCCCATCGCTGTGACAGCTGTGGCAGCCGACAGTAGGCTGTGCCAACTGTGCAGAGCGTGTGAGCAGCAGAGAAGCTGCTCTCTCCAGGCTTCAGGCGCAAAGAGATGCATGCCACCGAAGCGGCCCGCGCTGTCGAGGTTCGCCGAGCTTGGCGAAATCCGGGGACGCCGCCACCGACGAGCGCGTTGGACTTTTCACTCCGGACAAAGACAGTGGCACGCGCCGCTCAGCGGCGCGTGCCACTGTCTTAGCGGCGAGGCGCGGGACCGTCTGTGGCGAAGTGAGGTCGCGCGTCGTGCCACTGACCCAAGACGGTCGCAG